GGATTCAATAATGCTGTCTGGGTAATAGTAACCAGAAAACAAGGGTATTTAATTTAAATTATTTTATCTGTTACGCCTAGTAATTAATCTTCCGATTTTATTTGAAGGATTACAACTGTTGATTCTTATACAATACTAGAGAACGCAAGTCACATTCCTTATCATAAGTTTTGAATCACCCTGTGCTAAACGTTTTGAAATTAAAAGCAGCTAAAAATATCAACAGAACAACAAAAGAAAGTAGAGGAGTTAGTATATTAAAATACAATTATATTTGCCCTCATCCCCCAGCGACATAGATTCTTCTAGAAATACAACCGCAATTTCTTGCAGTGTTGCTAAAAAAAGACTTTGGCGAGTCTGTTCATTACGTCTTATTTCATTTCAAAGATGTTCAAAAGGATTCATATCTAGGCTTCTAAAAGGCCACTCTAAAATGATGATTGCAGCAGTTTCTATGAAATTGTGCACAATCTGAGTAGTTTGTGGTATTCTGATGGTCTACAGGGACGAAAGGTTGAGCGTACATGAATATCAGCCATATAAATTTGTGCAGTCTTTGATTAAATGATGGGAAAAATATTAAGACATATAACTCTATGCATCGATATACCACGCCACACCATAACGGAACCAACGGTAAAGCTATAAATTACCATAAAAAATTCTCAGTTAAATTTTTTCTACTATTTTTTGCTCCACTTTCTTTCGGCCATCTACCACATTAAGACATATTAGCGCGCTTGATTCGCCTCTGAAAAAGACATAAGTCTATTCTCTAAGATTCCCTTAGCTAGAATTTCGAATAAAATTTCTTTGCGTGTCGCGGCTTTTTCTTAATAATTTAGGACTTCTTGCAGGTGTTCCCGTTTTCTACTTTATTTTTTGCAGCCGTTCACAAACTGTTCCCAGTAGATCTGCAATAAAATGTATAATCCTTAAGTACAAGGTATTAATACAATATTTTTTTAACTTTTAGACGAAATAATTTTTTGCTTCTTAAACGATTTTCATATGGGCAGACACATTCTCCAGTAGGTTTGTGTGATATGCGGCCAGTTTTATTTGAATATACAGGGTGGGCCTGTATATTCACCTGAGGGTGTCCTCTTGGTAGATTTTGAAAAAAAAAACGCTCGGACACCTCAACTTTGCTTTTTAAGGGAACATCGTGCTGATTATGTTGCATCATACAGGGTGTTTCATAGACTTTTGATTTGATACTACATCAAACTTGATTTTCAAATGAATAATAAATAGTTTTACATCATTTTTCGATCCTGCCAGAAGTTTGTAGTAAATCTGGTATTTTGGTATATATACCATGTTCTATACCCATATTGAACCGTTTCAATTTTATTTGCGTTTGTTGTTGTACATATGTTGACATTGAGCCGAAGCATAAAAATGCAAAGACCAGAAATTCCTTCCCATTATTTTTAAGTTTACTTTTATTGTACAAACATTTCAAACGAGAAGAAATTTAGGGAGAATTTCCTTATGGATAAGTGTGATATGGGTCTAATTTTATTTGAAGAAATATAAAAAAATAATACTAGAAATACCTTCATATTTTGCTAACATTTATTTGTAAATGTGTGTTCGTTTCAATAGGTAGTGTGATAATTTTAAACTCGCAAAAATGTTTCGCACGACCCGAGCCAGAGTGCAAAGGTAAGTAATTACAATAGGTAATACAATAGGTAAACTAACCAAATATGCATTTAGAAAAAAAATTTAAACCCATGAGTAATCTCTGAATTAAACAAGTTGAGTAATTAAAGCTAGCAATTTTACAGTGTTTTAGGTGTATTTGCGTGTTATGTAAGCATTTATATTGTTGAGTACATTCAAAAATTATTGGTAGAAGTTTGACAAAACTCAAGTTTACTTGTTTGAATCGAGAGTGCTTTAATGACATTTGAAAGCGTCCATTTTGTTCACGGAATTTTGATGGAATTTCTAACAACAAATTCTCGAGAATTACTATAAATTATGGAAATGACTGTAAACCTGAATAAATCGTCTAAACATTTGCTGTCTATGCAATAAATAATGAATATTTAATTTGTCAATTGAAGCTTGAAATAGTCTAACCGTTTTTTAAATTTTCTAATGTCATCTAAAAACTGACAGTTCCAGCCACTCGAATAATTACTCATTTATCATATAAAGCAAAATTAATGGAATTTCCACATTTTGATAACTATTAAAACCCATCTTTTTGATCATTTTATCTTATTCAGTGTTAAAAATAAGGGTACGTTTGTGTAAACTCTATTCCAACATTGTTTAGTTTTCGAAATATTGCCAATTTATTGTTTTCATATGGCTATTTTGACGCACCTTATTTTAAATACTATCATTCTTAGTTGCCATGACAAAAGTGGCCATTTTTAATACAATAAAATGCGAAAAAAATGTTGACAGCTGTCAGTTACCTGCTTAAATTGCACAATCGAAGATTATTTAAACTTATTTATTATTTATGGAGAACGTGCTCAAGTTATATCAAGAACATGAGACATATTTACGATTCGATAACCACAAAAACAGAAGCTTCCACTGCGTGCTGTCAAACTAATTTTAGAAAATTTCAATAATTTGGGAGCACAACAAAAGAAAAGCAAATTTATAAAGGCAACCAGAAAAATTAGAGAACCCTAGATTTAAAAAAACTGCTTTTGTTCTAATTATGTTTGATATAATAATAATTAATAATACATAAACGGTTTGTCATATTCTCCTTAAATAATAACAAGTTTAAATAATCTTAGTTTCTACTTATAATTTAAGCGTCCGGGCATGATAATTAATGGTTTTCAAATGTTAAGTGCAAACATTCTTGTTGCATTTTGTAATATTAAAATGGGAACATTCATCATGGTCACTAGGAGTGACTGCATTTAAAATAAGATGCGGCAAAATAGCCATATGAAAACATTAAATTGACAATATTTTGAAAACTAAACACTTTTAAAATAGGCAACCTTATGCAAACTTGCCCTTATTTTTAATATTGAATAACATAAAATTATTAATAATGGGGGTCTACATTTGAAAAATATTGATTGTGGGTGGTTTTCTCAACTTTATTTTGAAATTTATTTGCTTAACATGTTGTATTAATAGTTATCAAAATGTTGTCGAAACTCGATTAACGTAAGTCCTTTTCAATAAGAAATGCGACCCAAATTAAGTAGACCATATTCGCTTATAGGAAAATAGTATATTACAGTACGGTAAGAGATGAAAGTCGAAGTTCCGCCACTGCTTGAAATAGACGCACGAGGCGAAGCCGAGGGAGTCATGCACGCAGTGGCGGGCCTTCGACTTTCACCTCTTGTACCGTATACTATTTTTGTCCATCGAAACTAGCCGGGAAAGTATAACGTTTTGAAACAAAACTTTGTAAATGTTGTAAAAACAGTCAGATGACAGCCAATGACAAAGGCAAGCTGTCAGCGTGCGTGGCAAAAGTTATTACTTTCCACACGGATGAAGAAAATGTGTAATGGGCGAAAGTGATCCTTCCGCCATCGACAGTGGCGAAAGTACGTACTTTCTACTAGGACATGAATAATATTATTATATGGATATATTATAATATGGAAAATGAATAATTATTCGAGTGGCTGCAACTGTCATTTTTTTACATAAAATTTCAAATATATCAAAAACGGTCAGACTTACGTATATGATATTATACATGAAATATATTTGGAATTCGGAGTAGAAATAATAATACCATTAATTTAATGATGTTCTATTAACAATGCAACTAAATTGTTTAAACAATTTTTATGACGCATTTTGTACATTTACCCTAGTTAATAATAACAAGGTTCGATTTTATTTTCACAGACGTAGTAGTTTCAATAGTATTAGTTTTATCACTACAAATTGCAAAAAGTGTTTTATCTCAAATGCCGTAAGAGATATTGTGAAAAACGAGGTGTCCCCTTATTGAAGCAAAAAAATGGGGCTATCTAATAGATATTTAAGAATAAATTTTATTTTTCGACTTGTCACTTTGAAGGCCCATAAGTAACTCCATAAGAAAGCCTGATCGGATTTTTTTTATATAAAGTACTGGCATTGTTTTCACGTCTTCAGTACGCCATATCGTTGTTGACCAACAATTTGGGGACACCCTGTATAATTGTAAATTGCATAGACTAGACGATCAAACAAATATACTTATTTGGTACGATGACGATAAAATTATTTATAGATCTCAGGCAGGATCAACTCTCGTCAATTGAGCTTAATGCTTGAGCTCAGATGACGACAGGTAATAGGCTCGAAACCAGCACATCTCGAAAACTGCAGATGCCTACATATTCGTAACTCATAATAGTTCTGTTGATGGCGAAAACTTTCATTGTTGATTAAGTGCAATTTGCTCATTGAAATATTAAATTATAAAATAATTTTAAGAAAATGAAAAAACATGTTAACAACGGACATGGAATGCCTACTTGCAGTTCGATTTGATATCATTGTAAAATACAGTTGGGTCCGGATATAACAAACTTGAAAAATGAACTAAAACTGGTTCGTTATATCCGGAGTTCGCTATAAGCGAATAATAATACAAAAACACGTGATGTATTTTATT